GGACAGACTAATCTTGTTCGTTTTAAAACGAATTGTGATTAGTTTACTTGAAATTTTATATTTTCTAATAATCCACATTTTAAACTTCAATGCGAAATGACGACGAGGTTCTTGTATATCGTCTGCTTTAATATACTCGTAACTTATGAATTTTACCCACAGAGTATATTTATGAGTTTGTTATGATTCTCAGAGTGAATAGTGATTATCTTTCCTATACAATATTAACCAATTGATCATTACATTACGTCTTCATACTCGCCGCCGTAAGAACCTCAAATCTCACAAACTGGGATAGTGTCTAGTGTGCTCTCACATCGTATGTATCCGTCTTTTGGCACTTTTGACAGGAACGATTAAAACACAGGGTGTAGCTTCGGCTTTCGCAGTCATGCAGCGTTGATTGTTGAAGATAGAGAAGCAGAGAAGTTTTAATGGAAGGTGAATCATTTGACTGGACGAGTAGAACGGGAACCGACTACGTGGCTATTGTACCCTTCCACAGATTATCACCCTGAAGACGGAAACTGTACTGTTTGCCGAAACGTTGGAAAACCTCCAACACTCGACCTAGCGTGTCCTAAAAAGCCTACTTACACATCAAAGTTCAACCACGACAACCGAAGACAAAAGAGTGAAGTCACCTCAAGCGTCAGGGTTCTTCATCAGAAGCTGAAAATCACTCATCCAATCGAGAGATTGCCCACTTTTCATGTAATCTGAAGGCATGTTACCTTGTGCACAATAATCTGTCACTGAGCCAGTTTAGTTCAATTCGGTCCCCATTTCTTTAGGATCTAGCCTGCCAAGTTTCCCCAGGGTTTCCGAAAAATATCCCTATCTCTCATGCATGCTACATGGCTTTAAGAGATTTTAGGAGAATTTATCTTGATTGATATCATCAAACACTAAAGACCTCTTGAGTATAAGTGGCCGGTGTTTCTGAGCAAATTTTGTCGTTAGTAGGGTGGAAAGGGTTAAGCAGAGTCTCAAGCGGCCTCTGAGTGTCGACGGAGCGGGGTTGGCTCGAGGCGGAGGGGGAGAGCGAGTGATATTGCGAATGGAGAATGCGCACTGCCTGTAGCATCTTCAAAGAGAACACAGGCGTCACATCGATCACATCTGAGGATAACAAGCCGCAGAAACATACAGACCTGCACCTGATAGATGCGGTTCATCTGTAGAGACATTGGTAGAACATGCAGGAAACAATTTGTTTCACGAAATATATTTTTAAAGGAAATATTGCAGTACTTATCTTTTGTTACGGTATAATCATGTAATTGCATTTTTTGTAATTATCTTATGTTGTATGTGTAATAATGGACTCAGGCCTGTTTTATATGTCTGACATTTGCGTTCTATTTCTGTTTTCTTTGTTTTGTTGTTAGTACTGTAAAGCAGTAACTTTCGTGATATTTATTGTTAGCGTGTTGTTGGATTGTATTTATTAAGACCGTTAGATCGTTTATCGCTCAGGTCGTTAGGAAGCTTCCGGCCAATATGGAACCCGAAGGATGGTTAGCGTGTCCATAAGACCCCGCCATTGCACCTTATTCTTGAACCCAGTTGAATCCAGTCTGCACATCACATCTTGTCACTCTAAGAATGATTTATTTACTTATATTTTCCGTGCATTTAATATTATTTGTTATATATCTTTGTTCTATAATTATGCTCTTAGGCCTTGCGTCAGGACGCAACATTCTTTCATCTTTCTTAGTCGAGCCTCTTGTACCTTCATTTGTCGGGGTTTCGGTTTTTCACTTGATCTATTAGACATTCGGTAGGACTCCTTGGACGAGGGATCAGCCCGTCGCAATGCCTCTACCTGCACAACACAGAGAGACGCGGACAAACATCGATGCCTTGTGTGGGATTCGAACATCCAAGCACACAAAGCCGGCGCGGGCACTGTAACCTGCCAGGACGCAACAAATAACCAAATTATTATCGTTATCACCATCTTAAGCATCAGTGAAACCGTCCTCAGCATTGGACATGACTTGACAATGGCGAACGCGTTGCCAGCCAGTAGGCTGGACACAGTACAGTCCGTACGAAGTATACCCGTGTTACTGAGGCCGATCGATGCCTGCCTCTGACGCAGTGGTGTACTGCATGGCAGTGTCGAAGCCGTGCTGACCTACACTTCCTGGTTTCTAGCCAGAAAATAAACTCCCTCCCAATGTAAACACAACATTCAGTTGTTTAATGAAATCGAGAGTGGGAGGAGGAATATGACAGGGGTGGAGCGTTCCTGTTAACCGTGTTTGCACGGTTAACACTTTGAAAAACGAAAAATAATAAGTCTTCTGTCTTACTGTCCTGGTTCAGTGGGACTCCATACACTTTAACACAGCGGAAATGATCAGACAATTCATCGTTAGGCTGTTCCAGCCAGGTTTTGTTAGCGTGTTAAATCCCACCGCGAGCGTTAGTGTCAAAGCTGGCTAACTGGCCAGAGATCCCACTTTGCTGGCTATCAAGGAGACAAAATGTGTGGACTAGTCGGTTAATGCCAGCGTTTCGGAGAAACTACTGCCCTCATCATCAGGGCTTCAGGGTTGTTGGCATTTATCGACAAGTGCATACGGCCCCAGAACCAAAAATATCATCACCACTGCCACGTAAACCTCAAATCTTACTAAATGTTTCTTGCTATCTATATAGGCCTGTTGTTATTTTTCTAAATTGTTTGCCTTAATAAAACCCTTGTCTGGTTAGAGGTTTTTCGACGAGCTGATTTCCATCCAAGGAGTCATAACACTTATCTAAAGTAGTAGTTATTTTAATGTATCGTCCCGGCGGGATAAAAATAATTTGTATGCATTTAAATTTTTTTGTATAACCGCAGTGCCACTGCAATTCTTGTACATCCATTCTGTGTCGGTGTTATTAGATTTTACTACATTCTACCTTAGTGAGTCGGATTTCATGTATGTTTAAACAGTTTGCAACTACAGATCTCTGAACAACCCGTCTGGTTTTTAACCTCGATACTATACTCCATCTTGCCAACCTGGTGGCTTTATGAAGAATGCCAGTGTGCTGAGACAATTTATTTTTAACATAAATTGTACACGGGCGCGTATAACCAAAGACGCTTACGCGCCAGTAACCAACCAACAAACAGAAATGTCTGATAGTAGGCCTAATCACATTGTCTGAACTAATTCTGAATTTGAACTAGCCACAAGCCCTGATCCATAAAATCCAGAGAAAGAAGAAGAAGATTATCTTGATAAATAAATTCTTTACGTACTAATAACTGGTTTTCTTAATTATGTTGTTGCAACACAAACCCCGTGGATTCTAAGCTTACAGATATGAAATACAGCTTCACATACTGTGTAGGCCTAATAAAGTGTTTCCTGTGTTTCATTTTCTGTTGTCCTTTTTTTCCCTTCCAATTTCACGTTTTTTACCTCAGGACTTGACTTACGTTCGGTAGTTTTGTCCATCAATCTTTGTCTGCTTTAACAAATCGAAAACTATCGTCGAACACAGCTTTCTCGTTTCATATTTCAAATGTCATGACTATTATTAACTTAATAATACATCATATATTAAATTTCATGATAAGCTGCCCTCTTTCATGAATAATTTACTGATCCATCGCTAGATGGTTAATCGCTTTTAAATATTAGGTGTTCATTCGATATCACAGGCCTGTTTTAGATGGTTCTATTTCAAGGACGATGGATTTATTTGTGCCTGTGTTTTGAAATTTAGTGCTATAGACAAACGAACACATACCTACACAATTTATTACTGTTACAAGTACATGGAGCTAAATATATAGATTAATGGTTTTGGATGTCATTGCAGGTAACACAGAAACTTATATAATTGTTAAGCTGAAAGTAAGGTTGCAAGAAATTATGGAAAAACAAACTCTGTTCGAGCCATAAGGAGACGCGTATCTATAAAGGGAAACAGTTGTAATGTCGTTTTTTCCTTTTTATAATAAACCTATTCGTGGGTCTTCACTTCTTGGATACTGCGATCTCTGCTTGTTCCTTAGCGTTGTGGTGTCCTGTGAAGGCAGAGGCCTTGCGACGAGCTCATCTATCGTCTGACTGAGATATCTTCAAAGTGTCCAAACCGATTCATAATTTCATAAGTAATTCTGAATTAAAACGAGCCACAAGTTCTAATCCGTAAGTGTTGATGATTATGATGATAACAGACAGTAACCTATTTATTAATTCTAATTCCCAGTTTACTACTTTTAGAGATATTTATACACGAATTCTTCATACGAACGACGTATAGGTTGACTTGCTTTGTCTTCTTGTTCGTTTGTTAGTCCGCCCGACTCGTCGTTCACCCGGTAATCCATTTTTCGCCCTTTATATCCGATTTATTTTGGAGTTCGTTTATTAAACTTCGGCGAATTCTGAGTTCACCTATGATTCCCGATTTCAAATGATATCTTGCTTTAAGTATGAACCTCGTAAAGTATAATTAAATTTGTGTTATAGGATTTTTCTTGAGTGGTTTACATTTATTTGTGTAGTCAGTAAATTCCTTGCTTATATGTAACCCGTTTAGTCCAAAACTGAGCCATTAAAGTGCAGTGTCACATTTTCACAGTCTGTAATTCAGTGACAGAGTTAATACTGCAGCTTGTGATCTACTAGCATGACGAACTGATCGGCGATTACACTGTTGAACCATTCAAAGGATGTAATGTTTGGTCGCCGGAAGCTGGTCGTTCATTATCTAGGAAAGTATTATCCTGGTATTTGTCTGTAGAGATTTAGTAAAGTAGAATAGCAAAGATTATTGATACGTACATGGAACGCAGGACAATGGAGTACCTTCACGATACCTAAATGTCACACCCACTGGAATGTTTTATGTGTGTGTCATAAATACAAGATATTTTAAAAAAATTCTGTGTGAATGATATTTATTTAAACGAATTTTTGATGCTAAATACCTTTACATCAAAGCCATGCTAACCACTGTTTTTTTTCCTTGTTTTATTTCAGCGGTGCTTTTTCTGAGGTGCGCTTGGCTGAAAGCAAGGAGAAGCCCGGCCTCATGTTTGCTGTGAAAATCATCGACAAGAAGGCGCTCAAAGGAAAAGAAGATTCCTTAGAAAATGAAATTAAGGTCCTGAGAAGGTGAGTCGACAGACATGATTATGCTGCAACAGCTCCAAATTGTGTTGCCAAATGCTTGTTCAGTGACATTTGCTAGCCAGTGTTCCACAGACAGCCCAGCAATGTTGGAACGCAGCAATTCAGAACTCATACGCCCCATTATTTAACGTTTCAACATTTGTTTGCGTTTCTTTTGTACAAAATTCTTAAATTAATGCATAATGGGAAGGTCCGTCCGTCTTCATGTTTCATATCGGAGATGGATTTTGATTATATTAAGGTCTGCACCATCCGTTGTCAAGATAATTTAATGTTGTTGTTTTGATTAATTTCAACCTCCTTCTCCCTGCTTTTCATGAAGGCCAAAGCGATCTTGTCGTACGAAATAAGACATAAAATGCAGCTGTTATTAAGGAAACGCACTAATAGAATGACAGTTTTTGACAATCAATAAATTTGTTGAAGAGAACTGAGTATTATGTTAATTTAAAGATGACTGTTTTTCTCGGTTGTAGCGCCGTGTAGAATTTTATGAATGTCTCAGATGCCCCTGCTGCCTCCATCATCAGGGCCTTGAGGACCTCTGAATCGTTGGTGCCTCCTTCGTTAGGTCGCTGATGACGTAGGCAGTATGACCTCTGAAACGTCGGTAAACATCGACCAGACTACACAGCGCAACAACCCATAAGACAGAAATCTTCATACTCACCGCTGTGAAAACCTCAAATCTTACAAGTGTTTCACTTCTTGACGGTAAATACGTTTTGACTGACCAGTAGAATCACTATCAGGTTTTTAGAATTGTGACGTCACCCACACTCCAAGTTATTTGCAAGTTCCTGTTTGTGATTACGTCAACCAGTAAACTTTATTCAAGAACGTTACATTTTTATGGGTGTAATAAAAGTATATTATTACGAAAGAGTATGGTTTCCGCTTAATGAGAGTGGCTTTATATCAAGGGGTTCGCGCACTTATTATTTCCCAACGTAGTGAACCTGGAAGTACGAACACCAGGGTAAGAAACGACGGAGGGGGTTTTCTTCGTAGAATGTTGTGGGCGCCATTAGCACAAATCGGCTTACACATACGGAACTATCGGCTTGACAGCGCTCTAACAAAGCTGTGCCATTGTGTGTGTTGGGGGGTGGGGGGTGGAAGAAATGAGTTATCAGGCGAAATTTTATTTTTGTACAAATAATAAAATGTAACTGAAAAAGGTTTTGTAAGAGAATTTTTTTGGGTGTTCCCATTGTTTGAATAAAAATGTGCACAATCCTAAGGTGGCTGAATTTTGTGTACTACACGTAACAGTGGACTTCCGTAAACTCAAAAGGAAATACTACGATGACGAGACTTGGCTAGTCCCATAAAACTTTAAAATCACGTAAGATTTAATTTGAACATTTTATTTACTGGAATTTAACGAACAATGCAGACACGCTTCCATACAGTTATAAGATTTCATAATTCTTCAAAACGTTCTTTGGTTCCGATATGGGGTCGAAATACGGCAGCTGATTCATATCGTGCATTTTCTCGATTAAGGGAATAGTAGGTCATATTAAGTGGGACATATCACGAGTTTGCGTGGTTGGAATTTCGCATAGCCACTTGTTTTCAATGTTGAATTTAATTTCGAAAAAACAAATGATTTCCTTTCTTAATATATTTTAATGGTAGATAATTTATAGCCTAACTGCAGTCAACAGTTGCTAGCTTCATTTGACAATAAATGGCAGTGAAATGTATTTTTATTTATGGTATCAGTGCCGAATTTCAGAGGAGAGCGATATATCTCGTTAAAAACATGGAATCAGTTGTGATGCTAATATGGCTACCGTGCGAATTTGCTATATGATCGGTACAGGTCGATCTGTTCCACAGGTAATATATTTGACGTTCAGTGCTATACGCGAAGGCGATTCATGATAATGTGGAGTCAGAGCTAAATTTCTCTTTTCCTACTGTTCATAGAGTGTCCTTCACACACTACATCAATATAGTCGCACGCTACTTCGCGTCATGTCTGTATATTACAGTGACGTCATTGCCATGATCGTAAACATCTGAAAATCGCTGTGGAAATCGACGAAATAATAATAAACCGCTACAGCCATAAATTTGTGGTGACGGTTGTACATTTAGCCACGAAAGCGCTCTCAGTTTTCAGCGCATCTTTGTTCGATGTTCAAGGATGTGTGTGAAGATTCAGCTTCCGATACGGATAGACGAAATATACGAATTGGATTTGATCGCCACGTATTAAATGACTGGATATCATGATGGCCGTTAGGTGTGGATTCGGGAAAGGGCAGTTGTTACTTAAAAAGCGTTAACCAGTTGATCTTTGTAATTACTTTTTCTGCCCCTCAATGTCAGAAGAGGCTAATATTGTTTGTGGCTGTAATTTACCCTTAGTTTTATATATGTGGAGCTGTGTGGAAATAACAGATCGAGGGTGTTAGAGAACAAGTATCAAATGTTGTGACCGAGTGACTGGCACATTCTGCAGGTGTCGGTTTCAAATCTCGGCTCGGAGACCGGGTATCCTCTGTTTCTTCGGGTAAATGCTATGATATTACATTAAATTAGCCCACGGCCGATTTTTACTGTCATTTAAAATGTATTATTAATTGATTCAAGCGTTCGATAGTATTATTGTTATTTCTTATAATTGCCCATTGATCTGAACTTATAACTACGACTCACAGAGGCGGTGATCAAAAGAATCACCGTTTGAGTGACGCCGAAGACGGCTGACTTAACTGGAACGCGGCTGTAAGTGAACAATATATAAAGACAAATATGGATCGACATTTACAAGTAACAAAGTCTGTAACGCATATCCACAGATATTTATTCGATTAATATTCTTATGATAAATAAGGTAAATAAGGGAGACAGACGGTTGGGACGTGTACGTAAACGTAGGACCTCAATACTTCGGGCTGAGGCTTTCTGTGGGAACAGATTATTGTGAATCTAGGTCGTGAATAGGACGGTATTAAACGCTGTGTGAGATTTGAGGTTCTCAGGGCGGTGAGTATGAAGATGGCTGTCTTAATATTAATTATTATCTTTATATGAAATTAATTAAGTGTGAAGATGTTAAATGTATCGGATTAGACTATGATAGTGTCAGATAACGAGTTTTTGTCAAACGACAATGGATTTATGAGTCCTAGATAATCGGAGAATATCTTGGACGGTTGAATAAATACCAACCGCCTATCTAGGAGTCTCCTCTGTGGGATTTGTTACATTTTATCCATATTTCAATATACATGTAGTTAGTTGTCTTACTCTTAGGTTTATTAGAAAAGACAATATGTAAAAGATGTAAAAGAGTATACCTTAAGTATCAAGGTGCTACAACTGGTATGATTAACATAAATCTGTCGCTTATCCTGTTCTTATGCGGCTGCAACCAGTTTGCGCTGAGGTCATCTTTAATAAAATCCTTGCCTACTCAATTAACAGTGGTAGTCTAGGAAATTTCTCGTTGCGTTGTATAATTAGTGCATCGTATCGAATCAATCTTAAACACGTTCACTGTTTTACTGCTCCGAAAGTCGGTGAATTATATAGGACTAAATCCTACGCTACAGTATTCGACGTGTTTTATGGAGTAGTGAATTTTTCGACAACGCTTTATGTTTGAATCAGGAAGTAACTCATTTCGAATCTTGATTTTATTACTGGTTGACTTTATTAAAAATTTGTGGATTTAATCTGTGTGTCTACACGGTCGCTTCCTTCTACTCATCATTTGCTCGCCATTAATTACTATGTTCTCGTCTCATCATATACTATATAAACTCCTTGCAGTTCGATAGGCGTCTTTAATAAGAATGCCAACCTGTCAAGATCGCAAACGTAGGCATGTTCATGTATTCTCTGTTACATTTTTTTAAAGAAGAGTTTTTTTCTTCTTCTGAATTTGGAGACTAAGATCTGTGTCGATGCAAAGCAGCAGATGATGTGGGGTTGTTTCTAAGTTACACCGAACACGAGAATAAATGATAATATTCTCTGCTGCACTGTGAAGTGCATGTGATATAAATTTCCAAAATTTACTGAACATCTTTTATTGCCACGCTTTGGAACTTTATATGACCTGAAATCGAGGCCCAAACTCTGGTCCAGCTAGCATGCCTGAATCCAATCTGCTTCAGTTATTCGCTCTGTTGTCATCTAATTATCCAGTTCATTAGTAATGACCATATTTTCTGTTACGTTGTCTTAGGAATTAGTAAGGTGTTGAGTAACCCAGGAATTAATATTGTCTGCTTATTTAACGCGTCCGTCCAAGGAGTCCTACCGAATGTCCATAGATCGAGCCAACGAAAAGTTGGGACCCGCAGTGCTCGGGCACTTGAAGAACGGGTCGTTCCCAGTATCCCAGATTATTTAACGACGCTGTATTCTGGTAAACAACCGACGTTCTGGAGGTACTTGCTGCCTCCATCATTAGGGAACCCAGAAAAAGCCATCTTCATTTTTAAATTGGTTGAGACGATAGGAAGAAGCAGCTGTGATCTGTTTTGACGTAGTATTTTGTTGGAATTTGACTGGAGAAATCGATAGAAACCAGTGATAAACAATGCATGACTGACCTCTGGGTTGAGGTTTAAGCCAGAAGAAACTTCTTGATAGAGAAACAAGATTGTCTGTTACTAATTTTTATCGGTCATTTGTACTGATCACGTTGTCTAAGCAGTAACGACTGATCGCCATTCGTAAGATATTCCGTTACTTTCCCCATCAGATCCGGCCATCCTGATTTTCGTAGTTTTATCTCTCTCTTCCTTCTAATTGGCATCTCAATGCATTTACCTCTCACAGTGTTGACTGATATGCGATAACGTTTTAAATAATTTCTCTTTTCTGTTTGCCCTCCCAATTTCTTTCATACAACCCCCATTAGTGACTGCCCCTAGAACCCCCATTACTAGTTTGTGGTATATTTTATGCATGTTACCAAATTATTTCCCATCCTCTCACCCATATATTTCCAC